GTGTTTGAGATGGTCTTGCTGCCTCTCCCTAAGCACTGAAATATTTGACTAAGAGAATGACACATTGTTCTCCTGGGATATTAGACAATGCTACTAGAATGACAGGGGCAGGAAGGCCTCTAAACATCTATAGCACAACTCACTTTTCAAAGGACTGCAGGGGTAAAGAATGTTCTCTAGAAAACAATACTCATGGGAAAACTACATTTACTTCCTTCCTCCTGGGATCCTCTCAAATCATAGGAAGCGATGAGGAATCAATTGAGAATTCTGTGGTCTCTTGGGAAAAAAATTTAAAACAACACTCAGAGAAACCTTCTAAATACATGTGTTCAAAAAATCAAAAAGTCGTTGGAAATCACCACCGTATCTTTAAAAAATTACTAAATTTAGCCACATATGGAAATCTGCACAGTTTTTCAAATATATTTTGATTAACCAACATTCATATAAAATTTACAAAGCAGCAGACTTTTTTCCATGGCCGTTTCAAATAACAATTTTCACCCTCCAACAACCGAATACAGAAAGGTCTCATTACAGAGGAGGAAACAGGTATGGGGAGGCTAAGAAAGTGACCTACGGCTACAGCCACGCCTAAGTGTCAGGATGAGGATTCGAACCCGGGCACCCTGACTGCAGACTCTCCACTCGGAAGTATTATGCACTTTTGAAAGTTTTCTGAAAGGACCAACCAAGAAAGTGAGAAGCAAAGCCGCAGATGGTTTCTGCATACAGAATTGGAAGTTCTAAATGTTACCAGTGTGAGCCCAGATTCTCTCTTATAGTGAGGATTTTATTTTTACCAAGCTCTGTGAAACACACAAAGCTCAGGTGCCGCCTGAAAATGTGAGAAGTCATTTGGCAAACGAATGAGGTTATTCAGACACACTCTTCAGGTTGGCGTGCTCATTTATTTAAGGCCGGAACAGAGGTGTAGTGAGTAACAGAAGGCTCTCTACTCCAAAATATGGGTCTCTCTCACCAGTTCTAACAATTGTAGAGTTATTTGGGTTAACAAGATCCTCTTTTGGGATGGAAATACCCTCTAATATGGTTTGATCTGTGTCTACTATGCCTTAATGATGTACAAACCCTCTCGGTTTTCGTTAGGGAGGGAGAGAAAAAATATATTCAATGAATCTGGCTTTCAACACTTTCATCCTTTTGTTTCCCTCCTTATCTCTGTCCAAAAGATTATTCCTGTTCCAGCCTCTGAAACCAAACCTGTGGATATGTTGCGTTTAAGAAACTCAGTTTGCAGGGCTCCTGGGCCCACTTTGATGTATACCAGGGTTCTTTTAGCAAGGTCCTTATCTCTTTCCTCAGAGCCTGCATCTCTGCCCAGATAACTTACCCTAGGGTTCTAGCTTCTCAAGACCGAGGCTGTGCTCTGCTTTACCCAGCCTTCCTTGAAAGGCCACACCTGGAGCAGCTGGGACTTCTGTCACACCTGCAGAGGCATGGAGGCCCCCTGCATGGCTCCCCTCCACTGGCCACAGCACCCACTCATTGCCCTGGCTGTGCGGGTTTGACTCTCTTCACCCTAGCACAGGACCTGTCTTTCCAGCACCTGGCAGTCCCCCAGCATCTGCCCCCTCACTAGCACGAGTGTCTGGTTTCTAGATCCTGGCCTTTCCACAGCCAGTCTGATGGGACTCCCAGTGCTGGCTTTAACCTGGAATCAGCTGTTCACGTATGCAGATGCTTGAGTCACATCCAGAGTCATTAAATCTGACTCTCTGGGGGCGGGGCCGGGCTACTGGTGTTTGTAAAAGTTTACCTTATATTCACCCAGGGATGACAGACACTACTTTACATCAATTTCTCTCAAGTTTCAACATGTTTCCACATAGCCCGGGGATGTCGTGAAAATGCGCATGCTGGCTCAGTAGGTCTGGGTGGGGCCTGAGGTTTTGTGTTTCTAACAAGATCCTAAGTGATGACGTTAATGTTGGTCCACGGACTGCTTTTTTAAGAAGCAAGGCCCAAGACCAGCGGTTCTCAAAGTGAGGTCAAGAATCACCTGAGAACTCGTTAGGGATGCAAAATTTCAACCCCCTGCCAGACCGACTGAATCAGACACTTGGGGGTGGAACCAGCAATCTGTTTTTACGAAGCTTCTGGGTCAGTGATGCTCACTACCTTTCCAGAACCATTGGCCTACATGGCACTGCCCCGTAGAAACAGAATGCAAGTCACATAGGTAATTTTAAATGAGCTAGCAGTCAGATTTGAAAAAGTAAAAAAGAAACGAGTGAAATTAATTTCAGCAAAATATCCTATTTAACACACTGTGTCCAAAATACTGTCCTTTCAACACGTAATATACAAATTAATGTCATAATTTACATTCTTTTTTCAACATGCAATCAATATAAAAATGCTATGATGGTTTACATGTTTTAGGAAGAGAAAACATTTAATTTAATCTATTTTTATTTGTACGAGTTTGTGGGGTACAAGGAGAATTCTGTTACATGGATGTGCCGCATAGTGGTAAAGTCATAGATTTAATGAATGTATCCATCACCTGAATAATGAACGTCATACCCATTGAGTAATTTCTCATAATTCACCTTTTCTTTGTATAAAGACCTCAAAATCTAGCATGCATTTTATACTTACATGACATCTCAGTTGAGACTAGCCACGTTTTAGGAGCTCAGTAGCCACATGTAGCCACCATATTGGATAGCAAAGCTTTACACTCACCGCGGAGATGATGGTACTGACTTCCATCGGATGCTTGCTGTGTGTCAGACATTACCCAGTTAAGCATTTTATGTGCATTATCCTGTGAGCCCTATGACAGCTTATTATTATCCCCATTTTGTACGAGGGCGGGTTATGCTCATCTTTGTTTCCTTAACGCCACAGCTTCTCGAGGAAGGCCAATATTTAAATGCATTTTCCTTTGTGGTATAAACTATTATAAGGAGGAAAAAGAAAAAAGCAATTAAAAATAATGTGTCTATCTGAGGCTAGGCTTCCAATTATTACCAGTAGAATTACCATTCCACATTGAGGCCAAATATCCCGTATTAGATTGGCAGGTATTTAAGACATAGTAAAATGTGACCATTTAAAAATAAATGAACAGAAAAACGCATTATTCTAGGGTGATTTTTTTAAAGCCTGGTATACATTTTTAAAACAAAGTTGATCTTATTATAAAATTCAAATTAGAGATTTCAAAGTTAATTTAGAATTTTAAAATTTGAAATATAATTTTAATATAAAGTCTATTGAGCCAAAGGATTTCACTGTTTTTAAATAGTACTTGAAATAGTAGTCATGTAACCCTTTTTTGTTTTTACATGGCATAACCCTCAGTATTTTCCATAATCTATTTCAGTGTCTTTAATTGCAAAGAAAGAATTGAATTTGATACGAGCATCTAGCAACCAACCCTCACATTAATTATAAAATATATCAGAGCTTTTTTTTTTTTTTTTGGGATGGAGTCTCCAGCCCAGGCTGGAGTGCAGTGGTGCGATCTCGGCTCACTGCAACCTCCACCTCCCAGCTTCAAGCGATTCTCCTGCCTCAGCCTCCCGAGTAGCTGGAACTACAGGCACGTGCCACAACGCCCAGCTAATTTTTTGCATTTCTATTAGAGACGGGGTTTCACCGTGTTAGCCAGGATGATCTCGATCTCCTGACCTCGTGATCCACCCGCCTCGGCCTTCCAAAGTGCTGGGATTACAGGCGTGAGCCACCGGCGGTTTTTTATAGTGGATTCAGGTCGAAGACTCTCTTTTCATCCCCCGATGGAAAGCCTCTCTCAGTAGTACTTTCTGACTACCGCAGCATTCTTTTTGTTATGGGGAGTAGGGGGTTGAAAAAACACAGGGATTTCGTCTATGTGGAATGAAAGCGTTCATAAAAATACTTAACTGCTTCCTTGGTAGAAAGCAACTAATTTTCCTCCCCGGTGGTGGTGTAAAGGCACAATGACTCAATGCAGGCCTGAAGTTGATCTGATGACGCATAGTATCTTCCTTCATCCATAGTAGAAAGAGATCTCAGTCTTCAGCTGCCATGATGTGAATAGTCTCATCATGTGAAAAAGTCTGGAAAATACTTAAACATTCTGTTTTTATTTATTCTCGCTGCATCTGTGTGTTCTAAACCCCTGAAGGCGAGGACACTTCATTCTGCCCGCCACTGTATTCCCAGAGTGCTTGGCTTATAGTAAGCTCTGAAGTGCTCACCAAATAAACATTTGCTGAATGAATGAACGAATGAATACAACTTCTTAATTTTTAATTCTAGAAACAAAATGAAGGCTCAAAGTTTGTCAGTCATTGTCAGTGACCCAACCAGAATGATTTCTTCATTGGCCTGTGGAGGCGGAGGCAGGGGTCGCTGTTTGTCTGCCTCATGTCACTGAATGGTCCCCAGTCTCTGCCAATAGATAAGAGGTGTCAACGCTTAACCCAGTAGCTTTCAAAAATAGCATAGTTGATGAAACTGGAAATTTAGGTGCGGGCTCTTTTAAGAAATGATTTGTCCTCATTCTTAAGAAGAATAGACTGGCAACAGATACTGCTGACCAGAGAGCACTCAAATATTTCTTAAGACCCCTTAGGAAATAGCAGAAGAAAAGCCTTCCTTCCCAATAAAGCATAAACAGGACATCTCATTTTCAATGAATCAGGTAATTCATATTGAAAACTTGAGGAGCACTGTGTTTCTTTAAGATTCCAGTCAACTTTGGGTTTGTTTTGTTTTCAATGGTGCTGGCAGTTTTCCTTAAAATTTAAATGAATATTTGCACAATGAACCAAGTTGTTGTGGGTTTCCTGGTTGGTGTTTTTTCCCCCCCTGGAGTGGGGGGTGGCGATCTGGGCAAGGCATTTTCATCCCTTTGCAGACAACCCCGGCTGCTGTTAATGCTGAAAATAGCTCAAATGCTCTCAGAACAGTAGCACCACCCAGCAGCTGGGATTCTTTCCCTCTCTTATTTGCCTCTCTCTTGCCTTTTTTTCCTTCAGACACTTGGATTGGACTTAATCTTAAACCTCTGGAGTTCAAGACCTTTTAAAAAGGGCTAAATAAACAATCTCTACATGTAAAAGGCCACTGACTCCTACTTCCTCTGCATAGAACAACTGTTGAACTCAGCTGGCTGTAGGTAAGACTTTTTATTCCGGAATTATTTAATTGTTTTCTGATATGTTCGTGACTAATGTCTTTAAAATAACTTACTTACAGTGGAAATAATCAGGGGAGTTGTGAACAGTTCCCAGGTGAACATTGTGTTCCAGAATACAGCAGGAGCATCTGGGCGTGTTTGTGGCTGCACATTTTAAGCTTTGCTTAAAGCTCTCGTTATAGTGACCTGCAGTACAGACTTGACTCTGACTGAACCACGGATCAGAGGTCTAATTAAGCCTGATTGCCAGAGCAATGAGAGGATCTTTCAGACATCATACTTTTGTTGTTTAGACTGCTTTATTTTTAACTTTCCAGGGGCATTAAAAAAAAGAGAGAGGAAGAAATGCCATCCACCTGAGTAAAGAGAATATCTATAAGTAATTATTCTTTAAGGGCAATGAGTGAGCTGTATTTTATAATGTTCTTCTTTTATCACTGTTTCGTTCATTGCTCGTGTGGAATCAGAGTGGTTGATTTGAGGGTTTCGAGGGTTTTGTTTTTGTTATTGTTGTTTTGTATGTTCCTAGCACACTTTAGGGGACGGTTTTGAGGATTCCTTACTAAGCTGAATATTTTTTGCTAAGTACACTTGCTGGCAGGTTTCTCTAACGTGACAATGTGATACTTTGGGTCAGTTTCGGTGGCTCCCTCTCCCCCTTGTTATGCTTGCACTTGACATTTTGCAAAGTACTTTGATCTGTGGACTTTAACTTCAAACACAGCATTTACTTTGATTGTGGCTATTTACTCTGTTCAGTAAAATGTCTCCTTTTTTTTCCTTTTGGTTTAATGCTTTGATAGCATTTCCTTTCAATAATTTATTGGAGCTTTAGTTTTCCTCACCGATCTGTCTTCGGTTTTACTTCTAGAGGGACCCCCCTTTGAAAGAAAGGTATTCTCTGGTAAAGTTCCCCCAACACAGACTTCATGACAGTTCATGGCCCCTGTCTGGCAGATGTGTAAGAGCCAGCAGCAAATGACAGTGCCCAGAACCCCAGGCTGGCTACCCTGCTGCCTCAGAATCTCCGTGTGCCTTGGGGCCCAACGGGTGCTTTTTTAAAACATGGATGCTGAAATCTTTCTACCCTGCTGCCTCAGAATCTCCGTGTGCCTTCGGGCCCAATGGGTGCTTTTTTAAAACATGGATGCTGAAATCTTCAGAGGTCAGAGATACTTTTTTTTCAGAAAAGTTTATTGGTATCGCAGACCACATGTCAAAGGAAAGCATGCATTCTAACCACATAATGATCTTCTGAGTAACAAAAACAGAGGAAGAAATAACAAACAAAGAAAAAGAAAACCAAAATCAAAAGAAAACTGGAAAAAAAAAACAAAAACAAAAACAAACCCTCAGTAGCCAGAAGTCTGTTTTACGAGTGAAACTTCTGCTGTGTAAGGGATAAGGGATTTCTTAAAAATGTATTTCCTAAAATGGGCAAAATGTTGCACTTACTAGCCATTCAGACAACTTTGGAATATTCTCTTCATTGTAAAGAAGGCACAAGCATGTGTGACATTTGTTCCCCTTTTCTTTCCCACCCCAAGCACAAGGTATTTTCACAGTCCTCAGCCAAATGCAGAGTTTGACATTCCCTGGCAAACGGTCCCTGTGTGTTGTGTATTCTGCTGAAGGTTAGGAATAGAATGAGCCTAATCCTGTCAGGAGGCTGTTTAAGTCCCAGTCAAGGACGCTAGCTCCTCAGCACTGACGCAGTCTGCCCCCGTCCTCTGCACCTTGCTAAGAAGGACAGACACAAGTGGCCACAGGACAAGTCTCCAGAGTGGCGGAACTGTGGGGAAAGCTACGGCAGAGATCCCCCTGGATTAGGAGCAGATGCAATAGAATCTCAAAATTTGGATTCATAGTAGAAAAACCTAGAGATGTTCAGTCTAATCTTTTAATTTTGCAAACCTGGGCATTTCATTGCCTCTTTTCCCCTTCAAATCTACATTATAAGAAGCATGTTAATCATTGCATTTATGTATATGGTTGACATTTTAAATCCTCCCGTTATTTTGAGCCTGGACTTTGTAGGGGGTGGGGGGGTGGTCTAGCTAGAATACTCACTCCCCCTTAGTACTTGGAAGCCTTGGTCACTGGGGGCAAATATATTGCTAGAGGTGATACTCCAGCAGTAAAATTAAAGGGCGCCAGGATGAGATCTTTTTGGAGAATGGTAGGTGATCATTCCATTCCCAAGCAAGCCATTTTTCCCCTGTTTTGTTTTGTTTTTTCTTTCTGTTTCTCTTCACCCCTTAATTTTACGTTGAAACTCTGGACTGTTTGAATGTGAAACTTCAGGTGAAATGTAGCCAAAGCCACCGAGTTTCACCCGGCTTCCACATGAAAGAAGTATTCTACCCAGCCTTGCACGAAACTTGGCCTGTGTTGCCAAAGGTTTCATGAATGTCAGTGAGCCTGAATTGGAAACATAACCCAAGGCCAGGTGACTTCTGGTGACTTTAGGCTTTATTGTATTAGTGTAGAGTCTGCTGAACAGGGAGAGTCCTATTTCCACATCTCCTACTGTAGTTTCATGGGGGCACACCTTTTCCCCCAATAAACTCCCATTTATCTCATGATGTTTGAAAGCCAGGTTCAATCCTAATATGAATGTTTGTAGCCGTGGGATTGAAGCACTGGCAGATAGAGGTCTGCGTTCTAAATTCCAGCAGCCTGAGCCCCAGTGGTGTGAACATGTTGGTATAATTCAGCTGAAGGAAGGAAGTCCCAGGAGAGCCATGGAATGCCTTTCTTTGCTTAAATATACCTCTGTGCTCGTGAGGAACAAACAGTAACATTTTGTCCAGGTCTATCCGCTTGACAGTATGCCTTTTGTTCCCTTTCCGAAGGTGGTGTCAAATATATTGGTGGAAAAATAATAAACTTCCAGATATTTTTTTTCCTCCTGCTCAACTGATATACTCCAAGGGAACATTGCAAGCATTGAGAAGTTCAGTACTGTGGCTGGGAATGTAAGGTATACTGAGAATAAAGGAGCCCTCAGTGGAGGCAACGTCCCTCAGGAAAGCATGGCGGCCTAGAGCTGATGTGGGTGTTAACAGTCACATGGGACCTGGTTGGGAAGGTGTGTGTGTGTGTGTGTTTTCTGGGTCGGGGTAGTAGCAAGCAGAGAGGAAAAGGGGGATTTGGAAGCTTTGTTCAGCAAATCTATGACATCGAAAACAAAAAATGATCAAGCCCAGGATCTGGAAACATTCTTTTGTAGATCATAGAAATTTGTGTTGGCTGAATATTGACTTTTTTTTTTGTATTATTTTTCTCATTAGAGACACCAAGCATTAGGATTCCAGGCATAGTAAATAATCTCCAATAAAAATATGACCCATTGGGAGACACAGATCATTACAGATAACTCCCGTGAGTCAGTCTCAGGAAGGCCCTCATGGTTCTCTGGCAGCTGTGAAATGCTCGGCCACCCAGGACACTAAGATTTGACTTGTCCTTTTCTTAGTTGGAAGCTGTCTAAACTCGTGTGAAGAATTTTCATAAAAATGAATTTGTGGCCTCACTAAAGATTTAGACTCTCTTTGGTGAGATACATAGATATAGGTTTATTATGAAATTAAATTGCCATCAATTTTCATTTAAAATTTCATAGTCACTTACGTATTCAATAAAATAGACTTTCATTAAAGATATGGTTTGCATTTTAGCAGTGACATGCAGTAGATGCCCTAGTAGGGAAAGCATTGGAAAAGCCAGCAATAACACAACTTGGGAGTGCCATATGTAGAAGCTGCTTTTTAGCACTGACTCCACTAGTCATAGTGTAGCATTTACCAGCATATATGATTTTGATAGCCCCAGACTGGTACCATGAGCAGAGGAAAGGAAGATGTTCAAATGGAGGTTCTAGAGAAATCATTCAGAACCATCCCACAAGGAAGTTCTCACTAAACATATAAAAGTATAAGGAGTTCAGTAGTTTTAAGACATTCATCATCCATAACAAAACAGAAAAAGGGAAAGGATAGGCTGGGCGCGGTGGCTCATGCCTGTAACCCCAGCATGTTGGGAGGCTGAGGCAGGTGGGTCACTTGAGGTCAGGAGTTCGAGACCAGTCTGACCAACATGGTGAAACACCATCTCTACTAAAAAAAAAAAATTAGCCAGGTGTGATGGTGCACACCTATAATCCCAGCTACATGGGAGGCTGAAGTGGGAGAATCGCTTGAACCTGGGAGGCGGAGGGTGCAGTGAGCTGAGATCCCACCATTGCACTCCAGCCTGGCAACAAAAGTGAAACTCTGTCAAAAAAAAAAAAAAAAGAAAAGAAAAAGAAAAAAAAATCAAGGGAAAGGATAAAAACGCAAGGGAAAGGATTTTAAAAAAAAATTAAAAATTGAGAATCAACACCACGCTAGTGTAGGTGCAAATCATAGTGTAGGTTTCTCTAAATCATTAAAAATGTTATTTCAAGAAGACTTCATTTGTCATTTAAGAATGCAAAAACCAGTGCTTTAAAAATCTTTTTGTGCATAATTGACTGTCAGAAAAAATGGAGTCCATGTAATATTTATTTATTTCTCAAGGATATATTATTACAGTCTACATTTACATATACGATGTACTTGTTTTCTTTTTTTAAAAAGTCAGTGTTTGTCTGATCAGGACGTGATGACACAAACAGTAACAGCAGTGGTCTCCCCTTTGCCGTACAGCAAAGAGGATTATTTATCAGAAGCAGATTAAACAGTTATTTTTAGAAGTCTTCATTCTCCAACCAAGTTTTTATTAGTTATTTGGATATTATATTTTTCTCTGAAATAAGAAGTAGTAGAGCCTGAGCATCCCTACTCTAAAAGTCTGAAATTCAAAATATTCCAAAATCTGAAACGTTTTGAGCACCAACATGATGCCACAATTGGACAAAGAAGATGACGTTAACACTGCAGAAAATGTGCATACAGATGCCACAGTGACAATGTGATGGGCTAACCAAAGGACTAGAG